GCGGAGCCGACTTCTAAAAGTTCCGATTTTGTGCTCCGCGGCTCTAGCACTTGCCTGAAGCGGCCGACGGAGGCCCCCTCCCCCGCCGTCTATCCTCCCGAATATCGACTCGGATTCACTTCTCCGCACGTCCTACCTTCCAGAAAGTGGTCGCTTTTCTGTTCAGAGAGTTGCTGCCATTCTTTTCTTCAATCTCCTGTTGAGTTCATAGGTATTCAGAATGGTTTGAACCCTATTCAGCTGAATTCCTGAGACCAGACGAAATCCAGGTCTCCTACTCCTCCGCCATCTTGCTCCGCCCTATGTAGGTTGATTCTTAACCATTGAATAAGAGATCTCAGAATACATTTAGTAGGAGAGGCCATTCTGGACAGAGGGTGCAAGAAAGCAAAGGTATGTGAATCACAGTGCTGAAGGTTAAGGAATTCAATGCAACTTTAACCTAGGGTGCCTTCCAGGATGTGGCTGGAGATTAATGTGGATAGAAGGGAGACCGAGTCCAAGCTGGAAAGGCCTTGAATGCCATGCTAAGAAGTTGGCACCTGTTATGTGGACAGTGCTGATCCATTGGAAACGTGAAGCAGGGGCCTGAGTATAATGAAACCTGTTTCGGAAAAATACATTGGCCGTCATGTGGAGGTGGCATTGTGGGGAAGTATCTGCTCTCTCGAGAATGAGAACAGGCAGGAACAATGAGTTACCCCGATTTGATACTGTCTTCATGGGACGAGACGATGAGAGCCGTGGAAGTCATAATGGAGAGAGAATGATAAATGAGAAGATGTTGTAGAGGAGAAATGAATAAAATGTGACAATTAATTGGATTGATAGGATTTGTTGCTGAATTGGATCCAAGTACTCAAGGAGAATGAAGATTCAGGGATTAAATTATTATTATTACTGTTTTTTTTTTTTAGTTTGGACAACTAAGGGATGCTAATACAATAAGCAGAAGAGCTTGCTGAAATGCAGGAAAAGGAACTGAATTGAATTTTGCAATTATAAATTTGAGTTGCAAGGCACACATCAGGATGCATACCGTAGACAGTTTTACAGGGCTGGCCCGGTGACTTTGGACATTTTTTTCCTTCACCTGTGTGAGCTCAGTTTCTGCCTTTGTAAAATGAGATTCTCAGTAGCCACAGAAGGCAAATATAATATGGACTAAAGAAATCCGTGACTCTTACTCATTAGGAAGGCTTCTGTGACCTTGCCAGAAGAATTTCAGCAAAATGATGGATGAAGCTATATTATAGCAAATTCAGGACTGAAAATGAGAGAAAGACAGCAAATTTGGATGGTTTTATATATATATATATATATATATATATATACACACACACACACACACACACACATATGCATATATATGTGTGTATATATACATATAATTTATATATTTTATGTATATATGTATATAATTTAACCGAAAAAGTGCTCGTTTCTTAGAACTCTGACTCATGTTGGTCTCTTTGACATTTCCATCTGGGTGTGTTACAGACATCGCAAATTAAATACGTCTAAATATGTCCAAAATAGAAATGCGGACCATCATACCTCCTCCTCCTAACCTTTCCGATCTACAGTCTTCTTCATATCAGTGAATAGCAAACCCACTTGCTCAGGCCCACAACCTTGAGGTGGTCACGCTTGACTTCTCTCCTTGACATTCCGCATCCCAGTTCCATCTGCCAGCTAATCCCTGGCCCGCGACCTGTCGCGCTCGCCCCTTCTGATGATCACACCGATCTCCATCACCATCATTCCTCATCAGGTTCCTCCAGTAGCCTCTTGATGGGGTCTCCTGAATTCCCCCTTGCCCATCTGTTCATCACACAACAATCTGAGTGACTGTCACTGCTCTCAAATAGAAATCAGATTTTGTCATTCCACTGCTTGAAACCCTCTTTCCCTGAGCACAAAAACCCGAGGTCTCATGATGGTTCTCAAGTCTAAACAGTCTGCTCTCCTTTTACCTCTTTGACTTCATTTCCTGCTGCTCTCCCCTCCTTTGTTCCACTCCAGCCACCCTGGCCTCCAGCTCTTCCTCAAACTTGCCAGGGAGACTTCCTCCTCGGGTCCTTTGCATTGACTGTCCCTTCTGCATGGAAGTTTCTTCCCCTGCATGTCCACATGCTTCTTCTTTGGGTCTTTCTTTATCACCTTCTCAGCGACTCCCCTTCTGACTACTCTGTTTATTATTCCTGCCCTGCCTTCTGGTTCCTCCGTCCTGGGTCTGCTGTTGAATCTGCTTTCTGACTTTGTTTATTTTTTTTATCTCCAAAAAAAAAATGATGGGAGCTGGATGAGAGGGGGCATTTTGTGTGCTCTGTTCATTCAGTGCCTGAAGCAATGCCGGGCCTTTTTTTTTTTTTTTACCCCCCATTAGCAGAGGAGAATAGGAAAGTAGCTTGAGGATGAAACCGTGTATAAGTATGCAGTAGACAAGGCTTTATGGGAGAGGGAGACACTGAAGGTAATGGGAAAGATGAGGTCATTGTTTTTATATGGCCCATAAGAGGTAGGTGGGGGTAGTATCAAGGTCATAAGTGGATGAATAAGTTTTGGCATAGTAGAGACCTCTCTTTCCTTGAGACTAGACAGAAGGGATTAGGAAGGCTGAAGATGGTATGTACTGGAGGTGGAGGAAGGTGAACGACAAATAAATTGTGTTAATGTCTGATGAATTCTGTTTCCTTGTGTAATGGTCCCGTTTATTTGTTGAGCTGTCTCCGGTATACCACCAGCTACTAAAGCCTGATAAACCTGACAGTGAGTGTGTGAGTGGTTGAAGGAAGAGGTGGGTGACAGGGGACAGACAAGGAGAGAGCCAAGTGGATGTAACTCTTTCTGGAGTTGGGCGCCAAAAGCAGGCTGAAGGCTTGCTGGATTTCACCAAGGGCCCAGCTCGGCAAAGAAATATGAAGATTCTGTGGTTATACTTGGTTGCCATTGCATTCCCAGGTAGCCAGAGAGTGTATAGGAAATCAATATCCCCAACCAGTTTTAGATACGTTCTCTCATAATATTTTCTCCTCTTGTCCTTGCAGGAGCAACTCAATCCAAGTTCTACTATTTCTTGTATTGACTTTGCTGGATGCGGAGGGTATCTTACTTCCAGTATCTCTCTCTTGTGCAGGACTGTGGTCATTACTTCATTAACCCCAAAAACTGTAAAAAATTAATTCTTTTTCTACTCCCCCATTCCCTAGAATGTGATGCCTCTATCGGCGGGATTATTCAAGAGCGAGCACAAAAATCCTGTGCCACAGTGTCCACCGCGTCTCCACGTGCAATTTCTATCCCATGTCCTGTGGAGCAGGATGCCCAACCAGTTCCTGAAGGTCGATGTCTCTCGAATAAGTGAGCGCCAAGGCTGGCTGGTGCAGTGTTTGGATCCTCTGCAGTTCATGTCTCTTCATATCCCGGAGGAGAACAGGTCAGCCCCGCATTGCCCTTTACTGTCCGATTGGGACCCTTCGAAATTGGGGATGTTGCTGGGGATACAAAAGAAAGCTTAAAAATGTCCAATTTCTTGGGGGCAATGGAGGTATTATTTCACATATTCCAAGTTGAAATCTCTTTCTCATCTACTTTGTTACTGAAACAAAATGATTATACCACCCTTGAAGGGGCCATAGGATATTGTTCCTTTCCTCTTGTTTTATCTCCGCTAAGAGTAGGTAAACATTCAGACAAGTACAGCTGCAATCTGACTTAAGACTAAGCGGTTGAACAAGGTCTGCGCCAGGCTGAGATGGGCGATGCGTGTGGTCCACGGGCCTTCTTACCCTGAGACCCAAGCTGATGGGGCAGCTCCCAGCCTGAGACATAGGGTTTCCATGGCCAAGCATGGATGTACAGGAGGGTTAACAGACCCCCGAGGTCTCTGAGAACTTCTTTTCGCTTGTGGCAGATGTTACATTCACTCATGTTTTCTTGACCCAAGCAAGTCATATAGCCAAGCCCAAAGTAAGTAGGGCAGAGATTACTCCACATACAGGGAAGAAGGAAGAGGGAGAATATATATAAACAAGAGTATAATCTGTATTATGTGCCAAGCAGGTGTTTTATTTTATGTTTAGTATTGTCCTTATAACAGATAAAACAATGAGTTATTTCTTTTGCTATCCTCCAGTTGAAGCCATAGGTTGTTAACATATGAATATTGCTACAAGGAGTTGGTATGGGAAGACAGATTAAACTGGTTGAGGTCTCTGCTTTGATTTGCCTTGACCTAAATGTAGAGTTGGGAGATGTAGACTATACATCCTCAGACTTCCCTTATTCATTCATTCCACAAATATGTCTTAGTTCGCACTGTGTCCCTGGCACTGGATAGTAAATGGCGTACAAAACAGACATGACTCTTACCTTAAAAGATTTCATGGTCTAGTAGGGAAGAGAGGTGCTTTAAAGGAAGGAATGGTGTGCCATAAAATGAATAATGGGGGGTGGGTTGGAAGATGGCAGCAACAATGTAGAGTCCTTAGATGTTGTTTCTAGAAACTGACAATTTGAGAGTGATTAGACAGTAGATGAAGTTGTGCTCTTCAATAAGAACCTAGAATGCAGATGTTCTGTGTTGCTACAATGAACAGGTTTATCTATATTTGACCATCGGCCAGGCTAACAGTCTTCTTGAGAGACCGGGGGGGTCTAGTTAAGATATGGGAATCATTGTCCACTATACTTTGAAGGAGAAAGCCTGCTCAATTATACCTTCCCCAGAACTGGGTGCTAGCAGCTGAGACCCATGGTTGTGTGGTTTCCTGGAGGCCTAGGTGGTACACAGGGTGGGTAATCATTCACTTTGGGTTTGTAATGCATGAAGCTTCTGATTCTGAAGTTTGGGAGGTGTGGTCTGGAACAATTCTGCACTGTCAAGCTTTCAGTGGAATACCGGCTCACAGCATAGATACAGTAGGTGGGCATGGACAGGATGAGAGAGTACCTAAGGACATGACAGAGCTTAACAACAAATAATCACAAAGAAATCCTCAGCCCCTACTGTGTACCAGGCTAAGTGCAGGATGAGTATTAATACACAAGTCATATAATAACCCATGTTCTGATGAGTTTATATTACAGTCTCACCAAGGACGCTTTCCTAGATGAATGAGTCATTCCCTTTATTGTGAATATATCAAGTTTCTACTTTTAATTCTACAGTGTCACCCATGAGCCATCTTAATAATTTAAATAAATAGTCTAGGAAATTTAGTACATTTAAAGGAATTATGTGCTTTTAAAATTGACTCTATTTTGAAAGAAATGGCTTTACTTTAGGCATATTCTGGCCATACTTTTAAGGTTTTATGTGTTGGTAGGTCATGATATGTGGTAGAAGCAAAATGACCTGAATTAAGAGCCCATTGTCACCAGATTCCCAGTAGAAACTTTCCCAAGTGCAATGTCACAGATCATGTTTGTTTCATGAGCTGCACAAATCTGGTGGAAACCAGAGCTGCGTTGGTGGACGTGTGGGGCTGTGAAGGATGTATGAAACCATAACTCATGTCAGAGGAATTAGCCCTCCACTCGCTTACTTCTGACTGGGCAGTGTAATAGCAAATCACAGGTCAGAGACAAGGGCAACATAGCTTAAGGCAGAGTTTTCTGGCTTCTTGAGCCTGCTTAGCCAAGTTGGAAAGGGACAGTCAGGATTTTCCAAGGAGTGCTCAGATTTTGAAAGAAAGGCAGTCCCCACATCCAGATGGAGACCGTATCGAAAAGAGGTGCCCCAAACCCTGGGGTGACGGAAGATGAAGAAGCTCCAAGTGCTACCAGTTGGAAATTTCCAACATAGAATTGTATGCAGAGGAAAACTTGTAACATATGTAGTACTGACTAAGGGAAAAAAACAGACAAACCACTATGCTATCATGAAACCTGCCACAGAAAACCATAAAAACAAAAAAGTGTTTCAGTAACTTTTTTTTAATTATGTTAATCACCATACATTACATCATTAGTTTTTGATGCAGGGTTCCATGATTCACTGTTTGCGTATAACACCCAGTGCTCCCTGCAGAATTTGTGATGTACACAGATTTCTCCTCTGATTCAGAATTTTGAAAAATGTCCCCTGTGTAACCTTGCTCCCACCCTCCTCCCTTCCGCAGATCTGTGGACATACTGGAGTTGACAGAGCAGGAGGAGCTGCTAAAATTCCACTATCACACTCTCCGGCTTTACTCCGCTGTCTGCGCTCTTGGGAACCATCGGGTGGCGCACGCTTTGTGCAGCCACGTGGATGAACCTCAGCTGCTCTACGCCATCGAGAACAAGTACATGCCCGGTTTGCTGCGCGCGGGCTACTATGACCTGCTGATTGACATCCACCTTAGCTCCTACGCCACGGCCAGGCTCATGATGAACAGTGAATTCATCGTGCCCATGACGGAGGAGACCAAAAGCATCACCCTTTTCCCCGACGAGAACAAAAAACATGGCCTCCCAGGGATTGGCCTCAGCACCTCCCTCAGGCCCCGAATACAGTTTTCCTCCCCCAGTTTTGTAAGCATTAATAATGAATGTTACCAGTACAGTCCAGAGTTCCCGCTGGACATCCTCAAGGCCAAAACCATTCAGATGTTGACAGAAGCTGTTAAAGAGGGCAGCCTTCATGCCCGGGACCCCGTTGGGGGGACCACTGAGTTCCTCTTTGTACCTCTCATCAAGCTTTTCTATACTCTGCTCATCATGGGGATCTTCCACAACGAGGACTTGAAACACATCTTGCAGTTGATAGAGCCCAGTGTGTTCAAGGAAGCCGCCACTCCGGACGAGGAGACAGACGCGCTGGACAGAGAGCCCAGCCCAGAAGATGCCAAGCCAGAAGGAGCTGGTGAAGAAGAAGCCAAAGGGGGTAAGAGGCCAAAGGAAGGCCTGCTCCAAATGAAACTGCCTGAGCCAGTTAAATTGCAGGTAATCAGAAAAAATGATTTTAGTGAATTTCAGAGTTACTAACTATGAAGGTATTGATATTTGCCTTTGCTTCCTTTACTCTTGGGGGTTGTATGTGTACTTTTGGGTTCCTATGTAATGATAGTTTTTCATAAAATTAACTAACTTCCTGTTGTGCTTTGGGATGTGCCAGTATAATTGTGTTGCATTTAGAATGGAATTCGTGAATTTTCCAGTGGAGTCAACTGACAGTAGTTCATAAGAGATACCGTTAGTAATTTGCGTCTGTGTGTGTAGCTGTAGATGTCTGCCTGCCAGCTCTTTTTCTCCTCCCTCTTCATTAGCAATTTCTTTGTTGGAATGCCTGGAATAGAAGGCACCTCATCCCTTTCTTACCCTGCCCCCACTTTCTACCAACATACTCTATCAGTTAGAAATCCTTTTGGCTTCAGGTGGAAGAATATGCAACTAACCATTTAAAGGATAAGCAGTGAAACCACTTAATTAATTTACATAGGAAGTCTGAAAAGGTACATAGTTCTAGGACATCTAGAATGTCCTCAGGAACCCAGCTCTTAATATTTGCCTGTGCTCCTCAGTGTGTGGTTTTCATCCTAAAATGAAATGATCCTGTCACTCATTACCCACTTATACCAATTTTGAAAAAAAGGTGTTCTAGTCTTTTATTATTATTTTTTAAAGATTTTATTTATTTATTTGACAGAGAAACACAGTGAGAGAGGGAACACAAGCAGGGGGAGTGGGAGAGGGAGAAGCAGGCTTCCTGCGGAGCAGGGAGTCCGATGTGGGGCTCCACCCCAGGACTGTGGGACCATGACCTGAGCTGAAGGCAGATGCCTAACGACTGAGCCACCCGGGTGCCCCCTAGTCTTCTATTATTGATGGGGAATTGTTCCCGCAGGACCCCCTGTCTAACTTCTCATTATATATCTTACTCGCCATAGTACCTGTAGCTGCAGAGGAGGCCAGGATGTTAAGTGTCCACCAGAAGAACATGTATTTACCCTTTTGGCTTAGAAAAATTATGTTTTATCCTCTGGGACCAAGCACAGTGCTGTGTACGCAAAATCAGAATTCTGTTCATGGAAGAGTTGGCCACTAAGCATGTCTGCCACGGATTTTGATTTCATATGCATTAGCCATTTAAAGATGGAGAAATTAAATCTGATGTCTTTTTTCATCATGTTTTTAGATGTGCCTGCTGCTTCAGTACCTCTGTGACTGCCAGGTTCGGCACCGGATAGAAGCCATTGTGGCCTTTTCAGATGACTTTGTAGCAAAGCTCCAAGACAATCAACGCTTCCGATACAATGAAGTGATGCAAGCCTTAAACATGTCAGCTGCACTCACCGCCAGGAAAACGAAGGAATTTAGATCGCCCCCTCAAGAGCAGGTACAAGAATGAAATGGAAATGGAAATGAAATGGAAATTCTTCCTTTTCACTCTGGGTTTTACTTCCTTCAGTATCCATACATTGTGAAATTATATCATAAGTTCCCAGGGCGGTTGTTTTCCTGTTCTCCTTGAATAAGCCGGGTTGACTTAGTCAGTAATTCTTTGTTTTGCCAAAAAAAGTCTACTCAGTTAGCTTAAACAAACAAGAGGCTTACTGAAAGGGATCGTGTGTATTGTAGACTCTTGGATGAGACGTGTTTGCCAGATTCTGAAGTTCTGCAAATAGAAACAATATCCAGCCACAGGTGGATCTGCTTTGGCTGGCAAGGTACCACCCCAGTGAAAAGGAGCCCTTCCCTCCTAAGACTCAATGTCAGATACTTTCTGTTTGGTCCCTCCTGAAAGACCAAATGTCACTGCCCCAAGGCTTGCTGGAAGATGGATCACCTGTTTATGGTTCTTCTGATTGCTCACTCCAAACCCAGCTCTCTTCCTGGCATACAGTAGAACCAGGGGCACATGCCTGAGCCAGACAATGGACTAGTCTGGAATCTACTTCAAGATGGGATGCATAGTGTGGGAAATGACCAAGATGGTGGTGAAAAGGTAGAACTGCCAGATCTAATCTTCAGTCTCTTACCCTTAGCATTTCTCTGTATCAAGATATTGCTAAGTGAAAATGTTTAGGAACTAATAGCAGAATTTGCTTTCTCACCAGAATGTAACTTCTTTGAGGGAGGGGGCATGGAAATTTGTTCATTTCCATGAACAACAAGTATTGAGCACAAAAAGAGTCCAAGCTCTCCCAAATTAACTCCATTTGTTAAGCTGCTAATGGGAGGCTCCTACTTCTGGAAAAATGGAGTACGGGTGTCTTTTTCTATTCTTCCTTCTAAGTACAACTAGAAGGAATTACATAAAAATTACACAAAAGACTAGATAGGAAGACTCCAAAAGATAGAAGCAAGGAGACGGGCTTTGGAACATGGGACCTGAGGAACACCGTGGTGGTGAGTCCCCTGGGTTTTCTTTTTGCCTCATCTATCCCAGACTTGGGGGTAAAGGAGCCGGCAACCCAAAAATGTCAATGGGCATCGACAAGAAAAGCCTGAACCAAAGACTTCGATGTCTAGCCAGAAGACCAAGAAAACCGTCTTTCTAGCAAAACCGAAAACTTTTAGGTACTAAACATACTACTCCAGCCGAATACTAGACAGAACTGTGCTCCACCCCCACCCCAACCAGCAGACGCTGATGGGGGAGCCTAGACTTCCACCTTCATCAGGCTCTAATGAAGTGCTCCAGGTGGAACTGTGGGGAGCTGGTGAGTAGTAATGTGGCCTGCTTCTTCCAGAGTGTCACTAGAGACCAGAGAGGGAGACGTATATGGCACTCTGGCCCTTTCCAGCCAGGGTTGTATGAGTACAGGTCTAGTGGGGAACTGGATTTCCCAATCTCATCAGTGAGAACAAGGTCTTCTTCCTCTCTCAAGTGTCCATGGAGGCTGAGTAAGGAAGGCTTCCATTCCCACCTGGCAGTAGCAAGTAACAAGGCAGCTCAAACTTCTCCTGCTAGCTAGTGTCAGAAGACGCCGGACATTTAAATAAGGTCCAGAAGTCTCATAAGACCAAAATGTCAAGGTTTCCATTTAAAAAAATCACTCATCACACCAAGAGCCAGAAAAAACTTGAATGAAGAAAAGACAATCAGTAGATACCAACTCTAAGGTGACGGAGATGTTAAATTTGTCTGACAGGGCTTTTAAAGCAGCCATCATAAAACTGCTTTGAAATGGCAGGGGGGGATGTCTTCACAAAGAAATAAAGATAGAAAGAAGAACCAAATGGAAATTTTAGAACTGAAAAATAACCAGAATTAAGAAACCTTCAGTGAATGGACTTAGCAGCAGAAGGAAGGAGAAAGAGAAAAGAATAACTGAACTGAAGAGAGAACAACAAGAATTACCCAGTTCAGGGACGTCTGGGTGGCTGTCGGTTAAGTGTCCGACTTTTGATTTTGGCTCAGGTCATGATTTCAGGGTCGTGAGATTAAGCCCCATGTCAGGCTCTGTGATCTGCTGGGAGTCTGCTTGAGATTCTGTCTTTCCCTCTCCCTCTGCCCCTTCCCTGCTCCTGCACACGCTCGCTCGCTCTCTAAATAAATAAATAAATAAATAAATAAATAAATAAATAAATAAATAAATAAATAAATAAA